CGCGGGCCTGGCGCTGCGGGACGTGCGCGGGGCTCCCGCCCCCGGGTAAACCCGGAACCCCTGCGGGAGGGGCGAGGAGCAGGGTGAAGGGGTGACTGGGGGAGACCGGAGAGGCCGCGCACTTCGTGATCCTCAGCGGTTGCGAAACAATCGCGTGGAAATCCGTTGTTGACCCTTGTAAGTCTGACCGTTTCTGCAGGGTTAGTAACCTCCTTTTCCATAAGATTGGTAAAATTTTGAAAAGTCTTCCCCGCGTTTTGCGCAGTTTGATCCTTTAAAAAAGCTCTTGATGCCATCCTGGCGCTCGCTCCTAAACGCCGTTGGCAGAGTTACCTCGCTTTACTTTGTGGCGGCAGCTCGCAGCATTGCGTATCACTTTGTGTCCCCTGAGGGGTCAGGTCCTCCGGGAAGTTCGCTCTTGTCAGGTAGCTGATAAAACATTGGTTTGATCCGCAACAGTTTCTAAATATAATAAACCAAACCATTACATCACTTCCCATATAGGAAGAAACCCTGGGTTTAGTTTTTAAAGTTACAGATTCAACAGGAGGAATGATACTGAGTAATAACTCCGTAACATCAAGGCCAGAACTTGTTTTCTGTCAGGGTGCTGTACCTCTAAACAGTGAACTCTAGAATCTTCGCTCTCACACTTCCATCTTATATTTCATTGTCAGATGAATTTTTCGAAAATGTTATTTCTGGAGTTTCTAAAAAGCACGTTCTCAAAATGAGCTTGCATTTTTTGTTTTCATATTGAATACTGTTCATATTCATAGCCACATGTGCTTAATGGATACCTTTGGGACAGCACAATCTCGTTAGAATATTAACTGTTCTCTGGAAATTCTGTACTTTTCAAGGCTTGAGTTCCATGAACCAGTCCTTGTGAATCTCTTTTGAATTCATCTGTGATTTTACATCATATTGACATAGTATGTCTCCTATGTTTGTTTCTTGTGCCTACTCATTCTGTTTTATGAGTAGGTACAGCAATTCCTCTAAAAGGAAAGCTGCAGTTACAAATTTTGCCTGCTCTACTTCATCTTAGCGTATTTAAATCTCTGTTTCAGCAATCTGGCGCCATTCCTGGCGTTTGCATCCCTTTTATCCTCCACTTACAGAGGATAAAGTAGTTTTTGAAGCACACAGGGGCGCAGGCCTGGGTCCCAGCTACTTGGGAGTCCGAGGCAGGAGGATGTCTTGTCACGAGTTTAGACTGGGAAGGTTCACTTGAGATTCTGGTAGAGACACAGAGTCATGGAAATTTCCAAACATGACTTTATTCTAAGCTGCTGAGCTCAGTGGAGCACACTTGCATGGTGGGCCCCAGGCCCCTCGCCCCCCCCGGTTCTTGCAGCAGCCCAGGAGTGGCCATGTGCCAATAACAACCTCCCTTGTTTAAGTTGTTTATACCAGCCAGCCTCAACCTTAGTTATATCCGTTGTTTGCACCGCGACCAACAAGGTGCGTGTGCGCCAAAATCCTGCTGACTTGGACTTAATGTCCACAGGAACACGCTGCCGCCACCAACCCCGCCCGAACCGAAGGGTAGCCATCGTAGGTTTTACTTTTGCTTACAGAGGATCACAGGTTCGAGGCCAGCCTGGGCCATTTACCAAGCCTTGTCTCAAAATAAGAGAAGAAAGAAAATAATGTTCTTCCAGCTTTGAAAGGTCTTTGCACAAAGCAAAAGCATGTGAGTTACTGCAGCGGCATTCTACATTGGTCTCCCAGAGTATGGCTTTTTCCATCCACCTCTGTCTCACTTTCCACAGTCGCCATACTGATGATCTAAAATACAGGTCTGGCATTTTAAGGTCAGTGCTTAAAAGCTCCATTGTTGCTCGTAGGATAAACTCTAAACTCAGTCAGCACGGCTTGTGAGGCCTGAAGGATGAGTAATGAGGTGGGCAGGAAGGGAACAGTATGTCCAGCCTGAAGGCGAATATAAAAAATTAAGAAAGGTGGAGTTGTAGGAAGGATATAAAAACAGGTGTTTGAAGCACTAAGCTGGTACTATTCCCTGAAGGGCTTCTTAAACCTGGTTAGCGAGTCTAGACACCCAGTTAGGAAGGTAGAGAAGTGTGCTCTACATGAAGTGCCTTCTAGCGGCAGCTATTATACTGGACTGCAACTACTGCGAGCCAAGAGGAGAATTTAGCCTGTTTGAGAACAAAGATTACTTTTACCTGGAGCTGATTAGGATCGAAATCCAGGAGACACAAATACAGTTACCCTTGAGTAGTGTGTTGAGGCACGACAAAATAGTGGCTGTTTATAAACTGCAGGCGTTACAGTGACATTAAAACCACCGAGTAAGAAGGGGATGAAGTCTCTGGGTAGTGTGGAGAAGGAGTCCCAAATCCCTGGGCCATGAACCAGAGGTCTGTGGACCCTTAGGAATTTGGCCCACATCAGGAGATAAGCAAGCTGAGTGAGCCAGGTTTCATCTGTGTTCACAGCCCCTGCCCGCCGCTTATATTACTGCATAAGCTCTGCCTCTCAGATGGCCTTTAGCCAGTACGAGTGCAAATAGCACTGTTTCTTTAAGTCTTATGACCAACATCAAAGTTGGATACTTGCATGCTCACCTCAGTTTCCTACCAGTGTGAATGACGAGGAAAGGTTAATGGGGGGCGCATGCAAACAGGTTAATTTAACTAAGTTCTATTTCAGTTCTGTAGTGAAACATGGATAGGAGAAAGAGCAGAGGGTTTGCTGTCAGGAGATTTAATATTTTGTGTAGCTCTGTGACCTCAGCCTTTTTGATTTTTAGTTTTGTAATACAATTCTTCACAAAATTATATGATGATTCATGAGAAAATAGCTTGAGGAGAGTAAGTTCTATGCAGATGATTTAATTTTTATTATTACTGGTCACTGCGAGTGGTCATTTTAGATGATTTAATGTTTGATACTTGGGAAATTTCTGCCTGAAATATAATACAATTCTGTTTTCTTTGTACAGTATTGAACATTGGCAAAAAACTCTATGAGGGTAAAACAAAAGAAGTCTATGAATTGTTAGATAGTCCGGGAAAAGTCCTCCTGCAGTCCAAGGACCAGATTACAGCTGGAAATGCAGCCAGAAAGAATCACCTGGAGGGAAAAGCTGCCATCTCCAATAAGATAACCAGTTGTATTTTCCAATTGTTACAGGAAGCAGGTAAGTAGCTTCCCCTCGGCCTCCTTGTCCTTGCTCCTGATCCCTTTCCTAGGGAGATGATGTTATTTGGACTAACAGTTCACAAACTCGAGCAATTAAAATCAAGTCTTACTTCAGTGTAACATTTTACTTAGTTTTGAAGTAACTGTATCATTTAGTTCTTTTGCAGTGGCTACAGCCTTTCTCAGACATCCCCTTTGCAGCCTTCCTCTCCAGCCCCTGGTGATGTTGAGCAGCTCTAGTAAATGAACTAAAACTGCTCCCTGAAATGCTATACAATTATATATAAAATTACCTGAAATTTCCAAACAGATTAATTTTAGGAGACAGATTAAGAATTTCATCAAGCCTCATACAGTCTTCATGTGCTAATAAATAAATGATGTCTCCTAAAACTAACCTCGATAGGAATTAAGTTTTGGCCAGGGATGTAGCTCAGCACAGAGGCGCTGGGTTCAATCATTGCTACCTCCAAAAAAAATCATTCCCATAATTTGATTATGTGTTTAGTTCGCTTTGATTCAGAGATTTTCCTCCCAGTAAAGGTAACCATAAACCTGGTGTGGTGGCACACATGTAATCCCAGCTACTCGGGAGCCTGAGGCAGGAGGCCACCTGCGCAACTGTTTGAAGGCCCTGTCTTTAAAAAAAAAAAAAACAAAAACTAAGAGGGCCAGGCACATAGTTTCGTGCTCTCTGAGTTCAGTCCTTGGGATGGGACAGACACCCTACCCCCGCCGCAAAAAAAATCACCTTTTTTCTATTTAAACAATGGGATACTAGTCTGTCAAGCATGATAGACAAATGAGCGACTAACAGTCAACACACCTAAGAAATAAGATCTCATAAAGCCAAACAGATAGTTACTCTCCCAAGGTAGGGATTGATTTAAGTCACCTACTTGCTCATCCTACTATTCATTTCTAAAACACTTTCATCCCAAACAGAATTACTACACAGTGACTGTCCATTCTTCCTTCCCTGGGGTACCTAGTAACCTCTATTTTGTGTTACTAGAATTTGCCTTTTCTAAGTATCTAGTAAGTGGAATAATTATTTCTGATTTATTTCACTGAACATAGTGTTTGGAAGGTTCAACCATATTATAAAATTAATGCATCAAGAATTTGTGGCTCTTCAGTTCAAGAGCATGCTTATTGGGTGTTCATGCCATATGCATGAGATGCATCTTCCTCAAGCCTTGTTATGACGTGGGCACATTACCCATCTGACCTGAACTAGGAGGGACAATTTCCATAAGAAAAGGGAGTAGGATAAATATTTACTTTTCTGTTGGCCAAAGCTACTGCTGTGTCCTTGCTACTACCTGATGGATGCTTTTATTTTCAGGGGTTATTTGTTGTAGACATTAAAAGAGGTTTGGGTGACTGCAGGTGTAGCTCGGGTAGAGTGCTTGCTTGGCGTGCACAAGGCTCCAGGTTTGATATGTAGCATCACAAAAACAAATGGGATGGGAATAGAGCACAGTGGTAGAGCACTTGTCTAGCATGAGGCCCTTTTTTAAATGTTTTCCTATTTTCTCTGTTTAAAAATTAATTTACTTTTGCTAAAGGTTTTGGGTTTGTGCCTTGTAAAAGTAGAGTTTAATTGTGCCCCAGTCTGCCTTCTTAAATAAAAATTCAACACTTAAAATTTTGCAATCAATATGTAGGTATCAAAACTGCTTTCACCAGAAAATGTGGAGAAACAGCTTTCATTGCGCCCCAGTGTGAAATGATTCCAATTGAATGGGTTTGCAGAAGAATAGCAACTGGTTCTTTTCTCAAAAGGAATCCTGGTGTCAAGGAAGGATTTAAGTTTTACCCACCTAAAGTGGAGCTGTTTTTCAAGGTAATTATTTTGTGCTTCTGTGTTTTACTGTAATGTAGCAGTAAAATTTTAATCATAAACCCAAAAGGTTTAAACCCAAAACTTTTAATCATAAACCCAAACTACAAATGTTACTCCTGACATTTATGTCAATAAAGTATACTTCCATTAGCAGTGATAAGTGATATTTTTAAAATATCTGAAAATGTACTTACCTTTGGACCAAGTTAAATAACAAAATGAGCAATGTTTTGTTTGTTTTTTGAGTCAGGGTCTCACTATGTAGCTCAGGCTGGCCTGGAACTTGTAACAATCCTCCTGTCTAGGCCTCCTGAGAGCTGGGATTATAGGCATGTGCCACCAGGCCCAGCTTGAAGTGAACAAATTTAAGTGAATAATAATTAGAAAGGAAAGTAACATTTAGTTAATTTTTTTTTAATTTAATTTTTTTTTTTTAAATTTAGAAGCCCAGTGTGGTGCCACATGCCAGTAATTCTAGTTACTTGGGAGGCTGAGGCAGGAAGATAACAAGTTGAAGGCTGGCTTGGGAATTTAGCAACACCGGTCTTAAAAAAATTTATTTTTAAGTTGAAATCTTTCAATTTAGTAAAATGTATGGTCAGTGTCTCTGTAAGCAGAAACAGTATATACCATAAGGACATAAGAATAAGTAGAGGTTTTTTTGTTTTTGTCTTTTTTGAGATAGGGTCTCACTGTGCAGTTCAGGCTGGCCTAGAGCTCACTTTGTAGCCCAGGCTAGTCTCGAACTCACAAGGATCCTCCTGGCTCAGCCTCCTGAGTGTTGGGATTACAGGCATGAGCCACCATGCCTGGCTTAAAAACTATTTATTTGTCAGATGTGGTGACACACGTCTGTAATCCCAGCACTCAGGAGGCTGAGGCAGGAGGATCACTATGCTGTGTGTTTGAGGCCACCCTTGGCTACAAAGTGAGTTAAAGCCAGCCTGAAGTGCATAGCAAAACTCTACCTCAAAATGACCCCCCCAAAAAAGAATAAATAGTGAATTTTTTGAATTTTTATAGGCTATGTTCAAATCACTTTACCCTTTCTACCTTGACATATGGTATCATGCATAGATCTTCTACTTGAGATGTAATGACAGTTTTGCATTTTTAAACAGTTGCATAACTTGTCTTACAATTATATAAATCAAGATCCATAAAAAAATCACAAAGTTGGGACACTGCTTAAAATAATTTTGTTTTTTCACTAATCTCTTTGTCTGAGATCTTTTGAAGTATAAAATAATGTCCCTAAAGATTTGTATTCCTTTGGGTATGGTGGCACATTCCTATAGTACCAGTAGTTGGGCAGCTGAGGCAAGAGGATTGCTTCAAGTTCGAAGCCAGCCTTGACTAAATAGTGAGTTCAAGGCCAGCCTGAACTACATAGTCAGATTGTGTCTTAAGAAAAAAAAATATTAAAAAGACTTGTATCCATATATAAGGTCTTACAAAAAATGAGGTCCAGAGGTTGTAAAAATAATTTTGGAAAGATGTGATGGGTTGGAATATGTTTTGACCTTTCTATTGTGTGTGGAAGACATTAGTTTTTCTGAAAAGTTCAAAAATTCTGAGTTAATTGTGCTACTGTACTTTCTTCTCAGGATGATGCTAATAATGATCCACAGTGGTCCGAGGAACAGCTAATTGCTGCAAAATTTTGCTTTGCTGGAC